GATGGGTATTAAAGAGGGCACATTCTGCATGGAGCACTCGGTGTTATGCACAAACAATGAATCATGGATCACTACATCAAAAACTGATGATGTAATGTATGGTGATTAACATAACAATAAAAAATTTAAAAAAAATCTCCTATTCCTCTCCACCACCCACGCTGCCAGTTCACCTTTGTCTATCTCTCTGCTTACACAATATCATGTGTACAGCGCTGAGGCCGGGGACCCACAGAGCTTCTACTGTATGGTGTCGGTGCATTCTCATTTCTCCAGCCTTGCCACCGAAAATCCAAGGAAAAGGATGCTCCTTGCTTCAGCTCCAGCCCTGTGACCACTGGTTAGCTTCACACTGATTATGTGATAAAGCACCGTATTCACAAGCGTTAGGAAGTCTTCCAGGACTGCCTGTTGCCTTTTTTTTTAAACATGTTCTTAGAGCATTGAATTACAGGCATAGGGTAGTCTTATATATATGCCTTCCCCCTTATTTGATAATTAAGTTAAATGCCGTCCACCAGTATCACCAGCTCTGGTAATGGACACTTTTCCTGAACACTATGCTCACTCATAAATTGGCTAATAATAAGGTGCTGTGTATAGGGGTTGGCTTATGTTCCTCCATCAAGTGCTGTTGAAAGAGCCCTTGGGAGGTGCCTGGGTGGCTCAGGCATTAAGTGTCTGCCTTCAGCTCAGGTCATGATCCTAGGGTCCTGGGATCGAGCCCCGCATCGGGCTCCCTGCTTAGCGGGAAGCCTGCTTCTCCCTCTCCCAATCCCCCTGCTTGTGTTCCTTCTCTCGCTGTCTCTCTATCTGTCAAATAAATAAAAATCTTTTTTTAAAAAAAGAAAGAGCCCTTGGAATAACCATGGTCTTAGCCTTTAAGAATTTTCTTTCATGAGACTCAAGGTTCTTTTGGCCCTAAGATTGCCTATTTCTCTTTGTTACATACAGAACCTGTTGGATCCCGAGGGGAACTAATTGACAACCGGATATCTCTCGGTTAAGATAAAATAGTTAAGCAACAGGCAGAATTTCTGTCTTTCTATTCATTCATTCATTCATTCAACACTTACTTATTAAGTTCCAGCAATAAGCTGGGTATTGTGCTTTGGATTGGAAATGAGATGGTGGACAAGAAGGCCTTTGCGGAATTCACATTACAGTAGGGAAAGATGAAATAAAAAAATACACATGTTGAAAAAACCCAGTTTTTACTAATTCTGATAAGGGCTCTGGTAGGGTGGGGAGGGCTGAAATGATATTTTAGGTAGGATGGTCAGGAAAACCTCTGAGGAGGTGATATTTGAGCTGAGCTTGACAGGTGAGGAGAGTTGAACCTCTGGAGAAGAATATTCTAGGCAGAAGTAAACAGCAAACACAAATGCCCGGAGCCAGATGAGACCTTGGTGGTTTGAGGAGCAGAAAGGAGGTGTTGTAGCTGGAGGGTGGAGAGTGAGAGGAAGGTGGCTCCCTGAGGCTGCAGAAGCGGTGGGGCCCAGCTTGTGGGCTACTTCGGGAAGCCAAAGGCAGGTTTTAAGCCAGAGTTGGGGTGTGTGCTGTGATCTGGTTTTCATAGACTATTGTGGCTGCTGAATGAAGAAAAGAGTCTATATGGGGACAATCAGGGAGACCGACTGAGATTTGTATTTGTAGAGACTAGAGATGTCAATGTCTTGATGTGTAAAGTAGGGTCTGTGGAACTGTAGAGAACTAGGCTGATCTGGAATATATTTGGAAGTAGTATTGACAACATTTGTATTTAGAGAATGGGGAAGACATAGGAATCAAGGCAACTTCTGGGATTTGACCTTGGGCCTCAGAGATATGCAGGTGGGTCATAGATTTACTTTCAGAAGGCACAGTGCTTTGGGCTATCTGTTCTTTCTCTCCAGTGTTTTGAAATTTTGTCATGGGAGGTTGGGGTTTAAGAATGCTGGGTAAGAGGGAAGCAAGAGAGAGTGTTGAAAGAGAAAGCGAGGAAATGAGTGAACAAACCTGACTAAATAATAGTTTTATTAGGGGTGCCTGGTGGCTCAGTTGGTTAAGCATTAGAGTCTTGATTTTGGCTCAGGTCATGAGATTGAGCCAGCTTCTGGCTCAGCGATGTGCATGGAGCCTGCTTAAGATTCTCTCTCCCTCTGCCCTTCCCCCATCAAAAAAATTAAATAATAGCTTTATTAAAGTGTGTTTCCCATATCCAGGACTAAATTACCTTCCCTCAAACCCTGAGAAACCTGATGGATACTCTCTTCTAGCATTGGAGTACCATTAGGGTTACTCCTTCTTAGTTAGAAGCGGCTTCCATAAATGAGTGCCGTTTTCTGTAACACTTGAGAACCTTTCTCATTCTTTTTGGGAGAAGAGAATAGAATAGGTTCATCGTGTGGAAGTAAATTTGCATTTTACTTCTGCTTTTCCATTTAGGTTTTAGGAATGATTTCTTCAGGAGGCTATGTTGGAGGCTTGATTGCATTGTAAATTTCTCAACAGAACACGTTGTGCAGTGGTTTTCACTGAGCCCCAGACTGTGATGGGCTCCTCTCAGTCTTGCTCTTCCCTTGCCTTATTGTGCAAATCCGGCTCAGGCCGTAAGAGACTACCTTAAGTCACGTAGGTGGGATATTTTTCTCTACAACTTAAGAGTTTATTTTTACTCTCAGTGATTCCAGGTGGGCAGGGACGAAGCTGTCACAAACATGGCCACCCAGCTTCTTTGCTTTTAGGAGAAAATGTGAAAGTCTATCTCTGTTGCTGTGTAATGGCTTGACTATTTTTAGATTGGGCTGCCAGAGATATAAATTGCTATTTTAGTCTTCAGCCTGGTGGTGGGTAGACAAACCCTACTTACTGCACCCTAAACAGAACACTCTCAATTTAATCTACCCTCTACCATCTTGGAGCCTTCCTCTTTACCCTTTAAAATTCCTGATAGGGTATGCTACTTATAAGTCTGTTGTTACGTCTGGGAGTGATGAGGTAGATCCTTGAATGCTTGGGATGCTTTTAAAGCATTCTCAAGAGTGCAGTTATTTTCCTTTTTACTAATAAGAGCTATGTAGCAACACTCTTGTCCCTTAGGAAATTAGTAAAGTTACTTAAAGGATTAGCAGGGGAGAAAAGATTTATTTTATCTATGTGCGAGAATAGCTTGGATAAATTCTGAAGCTGTTAACTGTACGTTTCTCTTAAACAGTTTTCAAACCATCTGGCAAATTCCATTCAGTAATATACATTCTGCACACTAGTTAGATAACTAACCCATTGATGGTCCAAGTGAAATATCATCACTGTCCCAGATTCATTCCCCATTGGATTTTCCACCTAAACTCTGTGTATTGGGTTGACAGGAACTGCCATTTTCTCTTTATTTATTTGCTCTAAGGATAACAGACCCTTTTAATTCAGGGAGAAAATGCTAGTCTTTTGTTCCTAAGCTGGGCATTGTTTAGGATGGCTTGACCATATGCTTCAGACCTGTCTCTGCCATTTGGTTCAGCCTGGTACCATTTTTCATCATGGTAATTAATAAGGTGTGACTGGTCAGAACTCGTTAATGGCAGATGACAAAATCTCCCCCTTTTCCCCCCATCTTAAAGTACCTCAAGCAAAAGGATAATTTATAGCGCAAAGCCTGCTGACGTCTTGCACAGGAATGCAGCGGGGCCTCGGAGACCTGAGTGCTGTGGGGGCCCTTTTACCTGTTTCTCTGCATCTGCTTCTTTCGGGCAGCTGCTTTTTTATCTTCCTGGATTTACATCTCCCCTTTTCCAGAGAACAGACTAAACCAGCATCCCTCATGAAACATGGCATGGGTGTGGGTTAGGTTTTGGAGGATCCTCACCTCCCTACCGAAGTGGAAGAATGCTGTTCATATCTTCAGGTCCCATGGTATTCATGGTTTTCACTGTATTGCTATTTCCACAAAGTTGGCCCAAAGGGAAGTATGGAATATGGGTATGTGTCTATATGTATAACCGATTTTGATATTTAGATACATACACACATTTGTATGTATGTATGAATTTTATAGCCAGGGTACCAGGTACTATATATTTGGGTTTGAAAGCAAACTGTTTTAACTCAGGAAGAATCCAGGTAAAAACATACCTCTAGTTTAGGTGGCCTAGAGGCAACCAGGTATCATTTATTTAAGCTGTCTGGTGCTGGAACAGGTAATGCAATATAGGGAAACTAGTTGGACGGGCCTGCTAATTGTGGAATGTAGGGTGTAAAGATCTCCATGTATAAAGCTTTATAAATTTTGAGAGAGAAAATTGAAACCTTGCATTGTATCTCTGGCAGTTACTGGCATTTGTAAAGTTTAGAAAGATTCCCTTGCCTTTTTTCCCTGAGATTTAAGATTTGGTTGTGCCTTTTTTTATTCATATGTATTTTTTTTTTAGCATGGGGGAGTATGAGTTGAAGGGGGTGGATGTGATTGATTTCTGTTTGATTTTGGTTGGTAGAGGTTTCTCTTTTGAATAAACTGAAAGAATACTTAATCCTATAAACTAGGGCATTTGCTTTTGGATCATGGCTTTTGCCTCAGTTTACACCTGTTCAGTGGCTTTGGTCTTGTTTCCGTAACTAGGTATTTCCAGCAGCTGCCTCTTCCATTAGAATAGACTAAACAATATTGGCAGCCTTCCCCATTGTTTTTTACATGCTTTGAGCTTGTCTCACGTGATGTCTTTTTGTTTGTCCAGGTTCATGAACCACCGGGCCCCAGCCAATGGCCGCTACAAACCAACCTGTTACGAACATGCTGCTAACTGTTACACACATGCAGTGAGTATGAATTTTCTGCCCTTTGTGTCCTTCCCAGAGGGCTCTGCTGGGAGGAGGGGCTATTATCTCTAGTACCCTCGGCCCAGTTAGTTGGATATACCTAGCTCTGTGACCTCACCCACCAGGGCATCAGTGTTGGGTCATGATACCAGAAGCTGTGTGAGTACATCAAACCCTTTGAGTGCTCGGCCAGCTCTGTCCATCCTAAACTGACTTTCTCTGACAAGATCTTCTGTAGAAGAATAATAATTAAGTACCCTAGTTATAGGAAAACCAAAAAGACAACTATTTATGAGGACTGTCACCTCTGCGATGAAGTGAATCACCTTTTCAAGACAGTCAGCTGTGTTCACGTGGCAAGGAGAGTCCACGGTGTTGTTGAAAAAGGTGTTTTTTCTTACCAACTGATCCCTTGAAAAAGGTAGCCACCCCGTCCCCACCTCCACAGCATCCACTGCTTTTCAGAGCAGATGTTATTCCACATTGTTAAAGAAAACTGATTTGATCCCTAAATTCTTAGTGAACTTTTTTCTTCCTTATAAAAGCAAAACATGCTCATTATAAGAAATTTAGAAAATACTGAAGAATATATAAGAAAAACAAAACTACCCAGAAATAAATTAACACTTTGGTGCATTTCTTCTATTTGCGTGCTGTGTTCATGAATATGTATTTTCATAGTTTTCCTATTAAGGTCGTATTATTGACATTTTCTTGTGTCATTATGAATGTCCCTTTATCTCTGGTTTCATTATTCCCTTTGAAAGTTGCATTTAGTGAGACTTCGGAGGGAAAGGAGGTAGCTGCTACATAGCTGAAGATAAGAAAAAGAGAAGGAGGCCAACTTAATCCTTTCATGAAGAGTGTTTAGCACAGGCTAATGTAATTATTTTAGACAGTACAAAACAGTGTTAGTACATATGTCATTATAATAAAATTTGTTTGAATTCTAGTTGTGCCTTTTCATGTCTTTAATCCTCTTCCCCAAAGAATAGTTACAGTGTTTTCTATAAAGAAACAATGATGCCAAATAAACCCAAATAAACTGGTTTCTAGTAGAATCCTTTATAATCTAATAGAACAATGCCATTTGGTCAGTCCTTAGCATAAATCAAACTTTATGAAGCATCTCTTTTATGTATTGTAATGGTGGACTTCAGATAATACTTATTAATACTGAAATATCATCCTAATTTATCACTGGATGTCCTTTTGTCTTGGGTGCTAAAAAGACTTTTATTTAAATAATTCATATGCTGGAATCTGGCTAAAGGGAAAAATTAGTACCTGACGTGCCTGCCCTGGATTACGTAAAAGAGCTTCAGTAATGAAATTTGGAGTAACCTCTCTAGTGGACAATCTCCCTGGACCCATGGCTTAGATTCTGGGGACAGGAAGGATTTAGTGGAATTCTTTAGACTTGAGCTGACCCCTGTCTTTGCCTTAGTGACACACTTATGTGGAGTGAGCTTTGACCAGAGGGTCAAAATGTTTAGAGTACCAACTTGGACTAAAGAATGCATGGCCTAATTTGATTGTCTTCGATACCTATCAGAATTTCCTTCTTTTATTCTTGAGCAAATATTTGATGAATTTAACAGCTAAAAGTAAAATTATTTCCAAAGATAATTGTCCAAGCCCATAAGAAAAAGTTTTGTGTTTGTATGTGTATATTTAAGTCTAGGCCAGGATTAGGATATAAGGAATATAAAAGTTTGAATAATTATTTGGCTTCTTCCTTCACTCATTGCTCCAATATACATCCATTATTTTTTCTATTTACCAACTACAAAACACTCATGAAAGTTACAGGTCCAGTGCCATGATAGTTTCCGTGCCACTGACCAATGAAAGTAATCAATGAAGTGTTCATTACTTAGCTTATATTGAGCACTTAAATATAATAGTTTGGCTATTGAGATGCACAGCTCACCTTTAGGAATATTATTTGCTGGAGATGGACTTGAGTGATCCCTTAATCTCTTCTGGGTATGTCATAAGTTAAGGAATACTTGTAAAAAACAAAGTTAAGGGAGAAACTGACGAAACCTCTGTGTTAATTTTTTAGAACAGAAAATGTCATCTTACTAAACTGTATCCCTGATTTTTGACTTTCAGAGAGCAGTAAAGTTTCTAAAACAGACAAAACAAAACAAAAACACTTCGAAGCATCGTCATCATTTCATTAAAGAGAGGATACTTTAACATGAGAAAGTAGAAAGGACATAATCTCAAAATAATTAAGTTCTGTCTTATGAAAAACTTATTTTATTGTCATTAATTTTCTCATATCGTCTGGGCCAATGAAGACTTCAGCATTTGAAAATTCAATGCTGATCTTATCTAGAGATATTATATTTTATTGCAAGAGGGCAAAAGTAGGTATCGGGGAAAAAAGATAAGATTGCTGAAGTTTGCATTCTTTACCAGGTGTGCTTATTCTAATATCTAATAAAGTACTTTATTTTTCCTGAGGATGTTTATTATTATAAAATGTTTACTACTCTTCAATTTTACTGTGAACCAAAAACTTCTCTGAAAAGGTGACGTCTTCAAAAAAAAGTTTAGTAGTGGTACTCATACTCATACGACGGACATTGAAATTTGTGTCCATGTCGAGTATAAACTGGTACAGAAAGCAAAATTCTCTGTAAGATTATGGTCTCTTAAAATTACTCAAGTAGGTGAGAATGGATTACCCTTGCTTACTTGAAAGGTGCTATTAAAAATAAATAATCCAAAAATGCTTTCACCTGGCACTAGCTCCCAAATTGGTGGAATGTACGGATCCATACTAACAATCAGAACATGGCTTGTACAGTTGATTTTTGCATATGTGGTGTATATTTTAAGTACCCACTTTAAATCACATTAGAGAAGAGGATGAAATACATTCTTATGTAATGAAATTAGGATAAAAGACATCCGCTTTGCCACAGTTGCGTCATGTTGCATCCATCACCGCTTACTCGGTACCCAGGGGTGGGCGTGGGTCCTGGGCCCTGAACGGCACTCGCTGTGACCCGTGCTGTCGCCGACTGCTGCATCCACTAGAGGCAAATGTTTAAAATGATCTTTCTACGGGCGCCTGGGTGGCTCAGTTGGTTAAGTGACTGCCTTCGGCTCAGGTCATGATCCTGGAGTCCCGGGATCGAGTCCCGCATCGGGCTCCCTGCTC